AAAATATTTATTAAAAAATAATATTTTTAAAATTATAACTTCAATTATTTTAAGAAAGTTAGGATTGCTGCGCCATTTTCCCATATATATATATATAAATCCATTTAATACGTTAGTTATTTTCTTTATTGTGTGTACTTTGAAATGGATTTTGCTCCTACCTCTCAAGAGCATGGAAATTCCGTTGAATATTTGTTATAGAGATAATTAATAATATGTAAGTAAATTTTTAAATCTCAAACTAAATTACTTAATTTTTTGGTACATTAGAGACTTAATTGCTTGATAATACAAAAATTTGAATTTCTTACTTTAATCCTTAATTAAAGTTTTTATTAATTATGTCAAAATATCATTACAATTGATAGGATGCATTTTATATGCTTTAATCTCATATTTTAGTCTTGATTTTATTGCCATTTGAATGGATATGATGTGATTTCAATAGCTTTTACATAATTTTCATTATTTATCCAAAAAAAGAGTTTAACATATAATACTAGGAGTTTCTGAATTTAATTGAATATCTTATAAAAGTTGAGGGATTGTATAGCAAGAAGAAAGGTTCCTCTTAGGGACCTAATAAATGAAGCTAAAGTCACTGGACTAAAGTACTTATTATGCAAAAGCTAGAGGACTAGTTCTGCTGTTTTACCAATGAAGAAATTGCAAAAAGAGTAAGAAACCCGACACGAGTATGGCGTGATACTTACTTTGTATTGTTCGGCACCATGAATTAAGTCGTTTTTCCCTAAAAACTGGTTGTACGCGAAATAAACAGAAGTGCTAACACTTATACTTTGACATCAACACTAAACACTTTTTCAGCTTTTAAGAGCTTTAATTTTGACACAGATTTTTTTTTTTTTTGTAGAATTTCTTAAATTCTATAAATATCCATTTGAACTAACAAGATTGTAATTAAATTGATATTTATTAATTAATCTAAAAATTTTAATTTTAGATTAAGACTAAAAATTTTAATTTTTGTGATACTAAATAATTAATTTTCTAATATACAAAAGAAAAAGAAAATAAAAATCCATTCAAGATCAGAATTTAGGGAGCTTTTGGAGAGGCTTTTGGCGGTCATTCTTTGAGTACTCTTGGAGATTAGGTTAGAAGCGGTAAGAATTCGTCAATAATATAAAATTAAGAAAATCAACATTTTCAAATTAATTTATTTCTTAAATTTATGCTTTATTTTGGAATGGATCATTGTTTCATAACTTTGATTTT